TATCCACAGAGAAGGAAGAAAGTCGAATAAATTTTTTCTCTGTTAAAAAGGAATATGACTCCACATTAAACCAAGTATTCATATTGCTTRTCTAAACTTTCTTTGCTGGTATTGTTTAAGTTATCCTTTTTTGCTAACAACCTTTTTCAGATCAAAGAAGTCGTAAGCGTTGCAAAGTTTTGACACACAAATATACTGATTACCACCATTAGAAGCATCACTCAAACGAAAATTCACTTATTTTAATACAAATATAATTTACCACTTTGCACACATACACACGCACACAAAATGACATAAAACTTTTCAAGGTTTCGATTGTAATGAATCGGTTTCACACCCAACCATTGGCAAGCACAAGCACACAAATGTATGTCGGCTACTAGCAAGCTTCTTTGCCACCGCAGAAATATGCTATGTATGAAACTTAAGAGGAATTTTGCCAACAATGGAATTTCTTGATGAGAAAAAAAAACACACACACACTACTATAGAACGATATAGAGAGTGTGTGCGAGTGTTTGTCATAGAGTATTCATAGAGAATATGCTGGCGCGGTGTGTAGTGAAGAGAAAATTAGGAATGATAAGCTTGAGACGGGAAATGTGTAAATATTTCTGGCAAAATATTTTGGTAAAATTTTCAAACAAAAAGTACCACATGAATGAACTTGGCAAAGGATATGGAAAAAGTTTTCACTTTTCACATGCATAAGAGCACATGGACACACACAGCCACCTATGCAAGCGAGCAAAGTTTGTCCAACTGCATGCATTGTCACAGGATACTGTGTGGTATGTGCCTTCAAGGCGAAATGAGAACTTGAAATTTGAGCTTATATGCACTGATGACTGCATATATACGTTTTCAAGTAATAAGTGCGATAAACTTCCGAAAGCATAAATATATTGCGAGGCAATGGATTAAATTAAGTGAAATTTCGACAAAAGTTGAGATAGCTTTGAAGTGAAAAGTATGCTGGAGTGTTTTAAASTTAATTTAAAAATATATAGCATACATTTTACCCTATAAATATATATCAGAGATTTGTTCGGTGAGCAAAAAATAGTAAGATATTTTAATTTCAATTTCGAGTGAAAATTAAACAAACAGAAAAATCATAAGGAATTGATACTTGAAAATCAACAATTAACAGTCAGAGATATTATTGGCATCGTTGAAATATCGGAGGAAACCACTATGAAAGATAGTTTGTGCTAAAACCACGATTGGATCCCAAATCATTACTTTTTCGAGAAACACCGTATCACGAAACAGATTATTACTGCTATGCTATTCTATTCTATGCTTACGAGCCCGAAAAATATGATCAATCAGATGGATATCATGACAAAGGTGAGCTCAAGTCAAACAAACCTTGACGTGGTCAAAAATCAGGGTTATGTTGACAGTTTTTTTTTAATTACCGAGGTGAGGAGCACTTGAATTGCTTTCCACCGGCCAAACTGTCAACAAGGAATGCTATTTGAAGCTATTCGTAAAAAGAGGTCATAATTATGGGACGACCGTCACATACTACATTGATTTTTCGTGAGTTTTTCACCAAATCCAACTACCGTATTTACCAGAATTGAATAGTTTATTATAAAAGTTTTATATTTTTCTCTTCATGACTATATATTATATTACGTGTTATTATTTGCAAATCGACTACTTTGTAACTGCACCACTTTCAACAATCACTTGGCTCAACAACACCCATTCATATTTAACGCATTTCCAAATTCACTCCCTGCAATGCAAAAAGTATCCTACCTAAGCAAAAAATCTTTATTTCTCACCATTCACTTATGCGCACTCTTAACTTATCACATTTTATATAAAAAGAGAGTGTTTAAATGAGTTAAGCCTCCCCCCACTCTAAATGGGAAAAACTGGCCCACCTTAACAAAACACACCACAGTACAGCACATGATCACCAAACACCATAATCGACGAATGAAAAGTGCGGAGAGCATGCTGCGCACTCAGTTAACACGTTTGCAGTGTGTAGTGTCCCCAAAACAAAAACTATGCAAATTGCTTTTGCGTATATTTGCAAATGCATTTGTATTATGTTCTTGCTGTATGTTTGTTGCGATTTTCTCGAATATTTCTGTGCATAACTAAGTAATTTCAAGGCCATTTAATAACATATTAACGTATAGGCAATCATTTATTTAACTAATAACTGCATTATATATTATATATGTATGTACATACATGTGTGTAAGAAAACATACTACTAATTAAATAAATATATGTAATTATACATGAATTTTCACTTACTTGAGACGTACTTATTTTAGAGCACCCCACCATTGCCTTGATAATTGCAGCTTCCTTTTACACCTGCACACTTTTTTACATTTAGATATTCACACGCGCCGACTCTCGCCACTCATTTGCAACACACATACATATGTATTTTTTCATTCACGAAATATACTCTTAAAATCGAACGCACGCACTAATGWTTTACATGCCTTCTTCAAAGCGCACTTCGAACTTTATTTTTAATAAAAGTGTTTTCAAATTAACACAAAATTTATTAAGAAATCTTTAATTTTATCCTGCTGCGGTTGAATGCATTCGTTTTCATTCGCGTTAAAACCAACTGTTAACTAAAATGTATAACGGATGTGAAGACGTCTGATTGACTTTGATTCACAGACTGGAATACAAAAAATATCCTACTACAAAGCTCACGCGCATGCTAACAAAAACACTTTATTTCTCACCATTCACTTATGCGCACTCTTAACTTATCACATATTTCATATGGAAAGAGAGTTTTCTACTGTCTGTCTTTTAATTACCAGTAATATCAAGTGCGCAAAGAGAGCATACCTCGCACTCAGTTCACACGAGACACCATGCGTTCGCTCTATAMTCTGTAGTGTCATCAAACAACAATGATATTAATTGCTTTTGCGCATATTTGCAAATGCATTTGTATTATGTTGTTGCTGTATGTTTGTTGCGATTTTTACGAACATAACTAAGTAACTTCAAGGTCATTTATAAACATATTTACGTATTGACAATCATTAACTCAACTAATAACTGCATTATACATCTATGAACATGTATGAACATGTTTATATTAAGAAAACACACTATCTTCTAAATAAATATAAATATGAACGCATTTTCACTTGGGCCGTAACCATTTTAGAGTAATCTGCCATTGCCTTGGTGTTTTCAACTTCTTTTCACACTTGCACGCACTTTACACTAACACTCTTACATTAAAATTTTTTCGCCAACTCACGTCACTCATTTGCAAGACATATATTTTTCATTCGCAAAATAGCCGCTTGAAATCGAACGCACGCACTAATGTTTTACATGCTTTCTATAAAGCACTCTTCGAACTTTATTTTCAATAAAATTATTTTCAAATCAACACAAAGTTTACTAAGAAATCTTCAATTTTATCATGTTACGATTGAATTGCACTCGTTTTCATTCGCGTTCGAACAAACTTCTCAATGAAACGAATAACGGATGTAAAGGCGTCTGATTGACTTTGTTTGCAACAGGATTGCATTCGCCTTGAAAAAGTTTTAAGTTTTTAGAAAACAATTTTTGTTTAAAAAAATATAAATATACATTTTTTTTTCAGCGGATGTAAAATATATTTATTATAAGTAGTAGTTATAAGTTTTTAGCAAGTTGCTTTACGTTTTTATTTTTAATAGGTAAATAACGTATMGGTATACATATGTATATTGTGACAAAAAAATACGCGAAAATTTAATTTAACAACTTTTTCAAGGATTAGAAAAATCGTTGGCGCAAGTGTATTGCGGCCAAGGGTGATTACTTTAGGGTAACACCATAAATTTTGAAGAATAAATTAAGAATTTTAAAATTATGARTAAAATCTTACTATTTTTTCTCATAGTAGTAAATGTCATCTTCTTTTTACTTGATTTTTGGTAAAAGAGAATATAWTAAAATAAGTCAGAGCCAGTCGTGAAATTTTACCTAAATTTCTACCCTACATTTAGTAAATAAATGGACTACACTTAACTACCCTATTGATATTAATATTTATATCCACCACTATATTTATGAGCCCACATATAAACCGAACWTTAATCGCCTCGATTGATTTTGTTTATTCATACTTTTGGTGAATGTTATACACACTTACATATTATGTATATAATGTTATATTACATACTCACAAGGTGACACTGACAAATGACACGTTAACGTAGGGCTTACCTTTAATCTACGTCAATGAACACTTTTCAGTTTTTAAATATTAATGGCTGACCGCTATTTTTGGTTTTAAGGRACTTTCCTTTTTTCCTTTTTTTTATGTTTGTCATTTTCGAAGCCTTATTGTAATTTTATTACATTGATATTGTTTTTACACTGTTATACGGTTATATTACTAATATGAATTCTTTATGGAGGGTTGATATATTTCTTATGTAAATTTTTTATGTGGGGGTTAGACGGTGTTTTAACGTTGGCCATAGAGTAAATTTTATTGAAATGAGTTCATATGGAATGTTTCAAGCAATAAGTAAGGTTATTTGAGTTATATTATAATTTTTTAATTATAATTAGAAACAAATCGGTAGAATTTTATTTATAAAAAATGGAAAAAAAGGGAAAAAAAAGATCTTTATCTTAATTTTGATAGGGTAGTTTGTATAGCTATATGATATAATGATCCGATCTAAACAAATTGTTTGGAGATTATAGCGCTACTTTGGATAATGATATGTGCCAAAGTTCGTAAAGATATATTCAAAAGAAAATAAGTTGTATATGTAAGGACTTGATTTTGAAAGCTCAGTTATATTGATATGCATTTTGGATACTACAGATTTCGTAAAAAAACTTAAAAATATTCAGTATATAAATATATAAGCTGTACGCTGCATAGTCACACTATATTGCGCCTAAAAACAGTTCAAAAGATTTTGTTTTACCCAAAAAATAACTTCTTTACCTTTTATTGATAAATGACCACTTACCTCGATTACACTATCACTGCCCAAAGCAACAGCCACACCGCCGCCACCACGCACTTTCCTATCGCCACTTTTGGCTGACGTGTTCACACGCACATTGGCTGCACCACCGCCAACAACATTCGTACGGGTACCAACACTACYACCGCTGCTTAAAGCAGTTGCTATTACAATTTCGTCCTCTTCGTCGTCGAAAACGTGACCCTCCAATGCGCTGGCTGCGTTTAGGTCACCAGTTGCTGCTGCTGTTTTTGTTGTTGTTGGGACGTGTTCGTCGTCGTCTGTATCGTCTGCCAAACCAATGCCAGCAGCTAAATTAAATTCATCCGAAGCACTTGCATCCACATCCAATTGCTCTTGGAAACTTAAATCTAAATCTTGGGGTAATTTTGCATATTTGTTGTGACTTTTCATTTTCCAAACACGACGACACGCTGTGTTTATATGTTGATTTTCCGACTAATTGTAAGCCAACAGCAATATTGGCCAAAGGGGGTCAGTTAAAAGGCGGATGACTCATGCGTGCAGTAAGACGAGAGAGGGGAGTAAATGTGGTGATTTTTTTATATGGTGGAAATTGTAACGGTTTTCATGTTTATATGTATGTTTTTGTTTTTACTTCACACTATCACCTTATTTCTCCAGCGTATGTATAGCTATGTTGAAAAATATTATTAATTTTTTAACTTGCCGAAAACACACTAAGCCACAAGTAACTGTATGCACCGCTATTCACTAACTGCCAACCGCACTGCATAAGTCAGTGGTGCACAGTGTTAGCGAAAAACCAAACAAATGAGCACAATCGATTTTTCGTCGCTATTAATTGCCTGTGCGTTTTTGTTTTTTTTTTTTTTTTTGTCTCACTTTACATACAAATTTTTTTATTTACTTTTGTGCCAAATATTTGTTTTTCTATACAGCAGACCGTACGCCAACAGGTTCCGTCGCAATGCATCACTCCAGTCAACAATGTATAATAGTATATTGGCAGCACTGCATTTATTAGCACAGAAATATTGTTTTTAACACAGCCGCGCAATCAATACGCGATAGCAGCATTTCCGCCGGAAGAAAGTATGCCATGCAATGATTGAAATGGATCACCAATGCCATAMAAATTACCAGCGTCAGTCGACCAATTCAAGGACACGTAAGCGTTGCAGCGCCACTAACAAATATCAACGTTGTTAATGCACATGCCAGCACAAAGCATCCGTGTAGACAATGCTGTCGCCGCAGTCAACGTCGCTGCGACTGCTGCAACTGCTGCACTTGCGGCAAGATTTTACGCCTCAGCGGTGYTCTAAAGCGATTAGGAAACTGCAAAGACGTTCAGGTTACCTACATACCTACACACAAACATTGGCATATGTCGTATAAGGCTGACAGAGTGAAGTTCCTACGTACACGTCGCATTCACGGAAATACTTTCACTGCCGAAAAGGGGAGTCACTCGGCTGTGGGTGACGTTACGACGAGACACACAAAAATATGCACAGAAATTGGAGCAGTGCAATGCTGCGCGTGTAATTAAATGGTACAATTCGAGCATAAGTCGCGTCACTTGTAACAAATCAATGTCTTCTTTCTTTCGCTCTCACTTTTTTCACCACGAATTTGCAGTTTTAGCAGGCAGTTATGTTTATCAATTTTTTTCACCGGAAATGTTGCAAGTGTTTTTATCAACAAAATATTTACTTTTTTACTTTATATTTCTAATTAGTGAACACTTCACCAAAAAAGAAAACACTTCAAATGGATTTTTGCTCCAATTGGAATTGTCTCTTTGTTTCTTTTCATTTACCAGTCTTGTTGCCAGAAACGCGCTCTAGCCAGCCATTCGGCTCAACGTCTCAAACACTTTTGACAACTGAAATGTTTTTGCCACAGCGAAGCCGCCAAATGGCAGTTTTTCCATTATCGCGATTCGCATTTGCCGATTTTCCGTACAAGAATGTCAAAAATTTACACTACTGAAAAACTGTTAAGCAAAAACAATGCRTCCGGCAATAGCGGTCGTCTCACTTCCACGCATGTTTATTGCTCTACAACGTATTTGCAAGCTACTCGTTCTTATTGGATTTTCTTTGCATTTTACTTTTGTGCATGCATTCGCCTTTTTCTTATTAACACAGTGTTATTGTTGTGCATACATATTTAGACAGCTTGTTTGTAATAGATTTTCATACAGTTATACGCAGTTTCCAACTGAAATATGGCGTTACCAACCTAAAATTAAAAATTGTCATTTTTAATAAACGCTGAAATGTTAAAATAGTGACGTATTAAGTGCTTACCAATGAAATATGTCACTTGTGTACCAAAATTTGTTGCTTTTGTCAAATTTAAAACCATACGATCCTCTTTATACACTTACTACCTGTTGCCTCAGCGAACGTAATTTACTCTACTTATATTCTGGTAAATGATGGTATGGCCTGTGATAAAATAGTTGTAATCAAGCTAATATCGTTAATAATAACGGAGAATTTTTACAACTTTCCAGCTTAGGATGCCCGCAGACGCTCAAAGCCGACCTTAATGCGTGTGCGGCGTACATAAGTTAGGTTAGGTTAATCTGGTCGCATAGACCCGTCTGATCCTTTGCGATACCGAATGGAGWTCACTTGTCATCGTTTAGGACGCGAATTTAACAAGACTTTGGCGCCTTACTGTCGATACCTCTTCCAGTGCTTACAACTTAGTCTTGCCAATGCGGGACAAGTGCACAAGCGATGCTCCATCGTTGCACAAGAAACCTGCTCTAGGCATTTCCTGCAGTTTTCTCGTTCTGTTAGCTCCAGATCCAGAAAAATCAAGTGTGACGTAATGAATTTAAGAAAKAGAAATCTGGCAAGCATTTATTTTTTTGTAGAATTTATTTTCAGCGTCAGCTTGAGAAATTTGTTACAAATTTGTTTTGTTTACGGTTTTTGTCGGTTGTTGTTTAAAAAGTTTTTAGCTTAGGTTTAATAATCTTATAAAGGAAAGCATCGTAATAGCTACCACAATTCATTCGCTCGTTTTCTGCTCACTTCTCCTCAAATACTCGCACAATATTAATGTTGTTTGATGGTTTCGAAAATTTTAGTTTATTTATGTGTTTTTTTTTTTTTTGTGTTAATTTTTTAATTTAATTTTTGTGTTGTAAATTGCCATTGTTTTATTTACGCGTATATAAAGAAAATGTTCATGAACATAAATACTGCCTTGTTGTTGCTTTTATAGTGAGCATTTGTTATCGTGTAATACAATTGATAACTAATTAGTTATATTTCATGTTTACGCTTTTAGTTTACAAAATATGCTTTTGATCTCTTCTCCTCATCATGTTCCAACTATATAATAGTAAATTTTAGTTGTAAATATCAATACTGTCAACTTAGCAATAGAAACACGCAATGTTCTCATAAATATCGGGTGCATTATAAGTTTTACATGTACATATTTAGCAAATAATGCATTTGCAAGTGTGTATGTATGTATATAGTACAATTACAACTTACATAAGAGTTTTTGTGTCCAATTGTTTAAACATTAATAGAGCTACATATCGTATTACAAAACACACACAGAGTTGTACATTAAATCCTTTTGAAGATAAACACAAAAGTGGTCACTTAAATAGTAAAAAAAAATCATAATTAGTTATGTATGTATATATAAAATAATATATTAAAGTAACTAAAATAATTTCTTTAAGAAATTTTTAATATTTTTTGTTGCTGTTTTTTAGCGTTATTTGAGATTTGCTTACGTTTTGTTTTGCTATATTTATTCGATAAATTACTAAATGCATTAAGTACAATTTACTGGCAACCACATAATGCTGCGTCAATGTTTATTTTTAAGTAGTACGCTATAGAATTTTCGACTTTTCAAGTCACAAAATTGTTCTCAAGTAAATTTTAATTGTGTTTCTCTCTTGTTCCTTTCATTACCCTACTATGATGCTATTAATTGTTGTTGCTGTTGCTGTTGTCTTCTTATATGCTAAASATAAATGTAACTAGACCTAGTATATGTTTAAAAACGTTTTGAAAATATCAAAGTAGGTATCAAAAAATGGCAAGCGTTCCGCAACAATTGCTAGAAACGAAAATAAACGCACGCGGGTTAGACATTTCGCAGAACGCAAATAACGGTTATTTTCGATAATTGCATTTGGAGTTTAATGTTTTTAAGTGTCAGGAATTTTGAACAAAATCAAATCAAGTTTTTMGACAAATAATGTCAAATACTTAGTTTGCGCCGCGTCCAACCCACTAGTGCCTACATACACACACTTTAAAAATAACATAATTTTTTGTTGCAACACTGTTGCAAACGACTATGGTTGGTGTTGATGTTGTTGCTCTTGCAGTTGATGTAATAATTGTTGTTTGGTTTCGGCTTTAACCGTTTTGTAACGACCCTTTTCCTCGGTGTTTTCGGGTGGTTCACATTCGAAAGACGCCATCGACAATGTGTTCTCATTTAAAACACTACTGGTTTGCAGATATGCAATCACATTTGGCATTTGCTCAAATGGGCAAGTGACCTTCTTCCATTCGTTAAACTCCATCACCTGTTTGGCGAGTTGTGAGCATTTTTCAAAATTGATATGATTGTTTGGCAAACTGTGAAGCAACGATGGAAGTAAATAAGAGCACAACATATGTATGTATTTAAATTTGAAATTTTAGTTCATTATAAGTACACTTACCGACTGGAAAAAATATAAAATTGAAATTTGAACGCATAATAAGTACACTTACCGATTGGAGCAGCCCTCGTTCAAAAAGTATAAGTCCTTAACGAATAAACTAAAAAATGGAATGATTATGCGTTCACGTTCCTCCGTAGCGCCTTCCGAACGCCACATGGCTGCCTTAAGCGTTGAGCGATAACTATTGAAATTCGATGTTGGATCCATTTGATGCTCCAGTACAGAGAATTTTGCAGATTGAACTTTCGACCACTAAAAAAAATAATTTTAATACAAAAAGGAAAAATATATTCAGTGATGAAAAAAATTCAGATCGCGCTTTTGATCACTAAAAAAAAAATTATTTAATTAAAAAAACGTTTATTTCAAAAATAATAATTTTGATTAATTCAA